AAGAAGTGGAACCTTTGACATTTGATTCCTTCATCTTATAAGCTTTTAACTCCTAACTCTAATATTCATCTACGTCTCTAAGCAATGATGTATCTTAGGGATGTGGGATAAAGGCTAATGGGTTATGCTAGTTGTGAACTAATTTTTCATGGAAGTGGGGGGAGGAAGGTTTCTTCTTGCTCACTTCCCTTGGAATTCACCACCTGTATGGGACTTGGGAAAGTGTTGATGCATTCAGGGGCCAGAAGGTGGAAAGCTGGTTGACAACTGTAGTCAATTAAGGAGGATATCATCCAGGACATGGCTTCATTTCTGTAGCTTAAGCAAGTTTTGTTATTTGGGGAAGAATGATTGACATCATATCCACAATGGAGAGCAACCATCAACCATGAAAAATGTAGGAAGATGTCTGAGAGAGATAGAGATGTTCAGAGAAAATGTGGGTCACTTTGTCTACCAATGTTTGCTAATTAAATTATTAAAATTTTTTTCAAAATTAATGGCTGACATGCGGTTCTGCTCTCATAGGAATGCTCCTTGAATGAGCAGTCATTTTAGGATAATTTAATCTCTTTGAATAATGAAATGCCACATTCACCACAGGAAGAAAATTTGCATTTTGACTGTAGGGTAGAGTAAAAGTGTAATGCATGATTTTGAGGTTTCTTGCTCAGATGTTTCAGGTACATGAAGAGTGCACATGCAGGAAAAATACATGGATTTGTTTGAGAAATCGTGACTGCAGTTTGCACTTGGTTCTTGCCAACCCCAACCAGAGAATTACATGCCTGTGGAGAATTCAGGTGGAGCATTTCTCAGATGTATCTCATTCAACATATGAAAACTCTTCAACCCATTGTAAGGTGAGGCGATAATCTTTAATAATTGATCTACTGGTCGCAGGTGCAGGTTGCAGTTCTTATCAAGTCCAAGATGCATTTAATCTCCATTGGTCATTTGGTATCATGCAAATGCCAACATTTTTTATGAGCTAATGTGAAATAAGGGATTATTCTTAATGGTTTCATTAAATGATTTCTGCTTCCAGATCAATTGAAATTCTGAATGTTCACTTAGTGTATCACAGTCAAAGAAAGTTACATCAAGTGAGATTATGAGTCCTGTAAAGGTATAATTTTTTTGGCTTATGTAATGCTCTTCAGGAAGGATGTGTCTGAGTCTCACTAGTAAACCATCCTGCACAGTTTTGCAAAGAATGAGAAGAGACGGGCAGTGTGGGACAGATGCTCCCTGTCTCTCACATGTACAGGGGTACATGTGGAGAGATGATGGTTCCCTGGATACACATTGGCACATAGCATTTATAAGTACGAGGGTCAGCCCAAAAGTTCGAGAACATTTTATTCTATATCAAGTCGAAACACCAAACGCAGCATTATTCCAAGTGAATTTTCTCGATATACTTCCCGCGCAGCTGCACACACTTCTGCCACCGTTCTATCAGCTTCTCGAGTCCTTCAGCAAACCAGTTTGCTGGGGTCACTTGAACCCACTTGTTCACAGCGGTAGCATGCGCCGAGGTCAGGCCGACCTTGGCGAATCATCCACTGTATCCCATTCTGCTTCAAAGCGATGCACCCTCTTATTTATGGCACTTTTGCCCAAAGCTCTGTCCCCGTAAACTTCTTGCAGCTCACGACCAATCTGGGCCAATGAGTTTTCCTGTTTCCATAGAAACCAGATCCCACCTCGCTGGACCCGATCATCCTCTTCCTTAGTGATAAAATAAAGGTCTACTTAAAAATGCGATATCTTTGCAATAGGAAGAAGCAATTACACCATCATCCCTACATTAGCACCATGAGACATCAATATGAACACTTTGATGAGACCGTTACTGCCGGTGCAAAGAAAATATTCACACTTTCTCTCGAACTTTTGGGATGACCCTCGTATCTTGCTGAGTCTTGCTCAGTAGAGTCCTGCCAATTTCTTCAAATTTTCTTTCGGATGAAATTTGAATTTTAAGGCAGGTATTTAGGTTCTCTATTTTTGCAGTCATGTTGGCAGCTCTTACAACCCATAATTTTACTTTCTTGTTGGTAATTCATGGAAATTTCATAGATCTCTTTAGTCATATTTACCCAGCAGTGATTTACAGTAAAGTATAAGGGGCACTAGGTAACATGGTCATAAAATAAGATTCCTTTGTTCTATTGCAATAATAACATGTATTATGTAAACCTATCCTGCAAGCTCAGATACTGTAGGAAATACACTAAGTTACCAAAAGCATTGAGACAAGCCTCCCTCTGCCGATAACAGATTGTCCCAGAGGCCATGTGGTAAAGGGCATTACTGTTGTCCAAAAGTATGTAACGGTTATCTGCAATCTTTCAGTCTGTATTTGTCAGTATGGCGCATGGATTAGAGCTAACGGAGTTTGAACATGAGATGATAATTGCTTGTCATATCGTTCTTTGTCAAAATGCTTTTCACAAAGTAGTTTACTCTTAAGAACAATTGTTATTGGGCATTACAGGTATCTGAATACGTAAAATAAAGCTGTTTAGTCTTCACTTCAGGCTCACTGCATTTATGCTGAATGCAAGACTTCTCACTTTTTCTGGAATCGTTATTGTTATCAATAATCAGCAACAAATTGCTAAATTCCATATGTTCATTGTTATGTTATTGTTTTTGTCTTAGAATGCTCCAATTGTTATTAGGGATGCACCGATCCAGGATTAGCTGATCCTGATACCGATACCGATCCCTGTGTCATGGTATCGGCCGATACCAATACCGATACATATAGCTCCCAGTGGCTGTCAGAAATGAAACCACAATACAGGAGCAGACCTTAGTAGGCCTTATACCTTTGGCATAGAAGGGAAGAAATAAAAAATCCTCGGACACTAATAACCCAACATTCGAAGTTCCTGTCATTTACCTAGTATTTAGCTTTGGAGACATTTACGTGGCAAATAGCTTCTTGAGTATAGCCCAAAACTTCCCCCACCATTCACCAGGCCCGCCGAGAATACGTCGGTCGTAAGTACTACGTACAAAGGACGATCGGTGGGAAGAGGAGAAGAGGTAGGAACTACATCTAATGTCCTTGAGGGATTAAGGAGTTGATGCAACTACTGTACAACTGGGATCGATGTTCGAGGGGGGAGCCGGAGGCGGAATGGACGTGAGCACGAAGTGCACCTGCGCAAACCAGTCAGCGCAGGAAGGCAGGAGACGGGTCGGATGGAGAAAAGTGAAGGAATGTATGTCTATCAGTTGGAGATTATAAAGAGCTATGACGGACATAAGGAACCGAATGCCGTTACGAGTGTGCTTTTTTTCACAAGACGTTCCAAAAATTAATTCGCTGCGCATCATACGGCGCGCGGCAGGGGAAAATCAGATCGAATCGGCCAATACCGATCCTGGCCGATCCACTTGGTATCAGCCAATACCGATACTTTGAATCGGTATCAGTGCATCCCTAATTGTTATCTCATCGTAACCCTTCTTTGAGGCAGCTTGGACCAATAAACCATCGGATGGGAAACATGTCCTAAATTCAAGTGAGTCCCTCATATCTTGGGGAAAAGGTAGCCACGAAATGTTCAAATCTCTTGCAACCTCATGTCATTTTTGACAAAGTATGCAGTCCAGTGCTACAAGAACTCGGTGTCAATAAATAAAAAAATCCAACAGTTGTTAGAAAAGTACAGCGCATGGTCTCGTGTTCGCGGGAAGCGAGTAAGTTCGGTGTGTTTCGTAACTCTGTGGTTCAGTGTTTCTTCTATTCCGAATCAACATCGGAGCTATGAGAACTCGCTTTCAAGAGAATGCAGATGTTAAAAAAAAGTGCGGCACTTTGTCTCGTGTTCGCGAGAGGCGAGAATATTCTCAGTGAGTCGTATCTCTGCGGTTCAGTATTTGTTCCACTCAAAATTAACGTTGGAGCTGTGAGAACTCGGTTTTGGGAAATTATGTAGTGAGCATAATTTCGTCACTTGGTCTCGCATTTGCGGGAGGTGAGTATGTTCGCAGTGAGTCGTAAATCTACGGCTCAGTGTTTGTTCCACTCCAAATCAACGTTGCAACTACGAGAACAAAGTTTCAAGAAAATCCAGTTGTTAGAGAAAGGGCTTCACTTAGTCTTGTGTTCGCGGAAGTGCAGGATGTTCGCAGTGAGTCATAAATCTACGGTTTAGTGTTTGTTCCACTCCAAATCAACGTTGCAGCTACTAAAACTTAATTTCAAGAAAATCCAGTTTGCTGAAGTGCGTCACTTGGACTCGTATTCGCGGGAGACGAGCCTGTTTACTGAGTGTCATCTCTGCGGTTCAGTATTTCTTTCACTCCATATCAACAATGGATCTACAGGTAAGTGAACTCAGTTTCAAGAAAATCTTGTTTTCGAAACTTCGGCTCTTGTTCTCGTGTTCGCGGACGGCGAGCACGTTCGCTGTGAGTCGTATCTTTCTTAATTATAGATTATTCTTCTCCTAGTCAAGCTTTAAATTACAAGAACTTGATTTCAAGAAAATCCAGTTGCTATAGAAAGTTTGGCTCTTGTTCTCATGGTCGCGATAGTGGAGGATGTTCACAGTAACACATATCTCTGCTATTCTGCGTTTCTTCCACTCCAAGTCAGCGTTGGAGCTACGAGAACTCAGACTCAAGAAAATCTAGTTGTTAGAGAAAGTGCGTCACTTGGTCTCGTGTAAAGCGGGAGGGGAGCATGTTCACCATGAGTCGTATCTTCGCGATTCATGTTCTATCCCACTGGAAATGGTTCTATCCACTATCTGTGCTATTCAGACTCTTTTTCTATCAAATAGCGTTATTAACAAAAGGGAGGTTTGCGTCCTTTTTTTGAGCTGCTTTCTATCTAGCAATCGGTAGACTCACTCAGATTCAACATGGGAGTTGGATGGACCTCGTTACAATCATGCTGGGAATACAAGATGTTGTCTCTCTCCATTGCAATATTTGACAGTTGTCTCTTCAGCGTTACATGCATGGAAGTTTCCATGAGGTAATATAGCACTTTCTTGTTACCAATATGTGTTGAGTGCTATTATAAAGTGGAGTTTGTTTCTATTTAATGAATGACTTTTCATTGCACTTACTCAACTTGCCTTTCTTGGGAAAATCTTTGCACATGTGATGCACCCCTGCATGTGAAGAACCTGACAAGGAAATGAGGATGGATGATATACTTACTGGAATGAATTGCCTTAGGAGTTTTCCGTGCCTGATGTGAAATGAATTGCATGGATTTCATTGAAGTATCAATAAATTTCCCCTTGTGATTAACCCCCTCACCAGTACGATAGAGAAATTCTCCGTCTGTCACTCTTAGTGTGTCAGAAAACCTGTCAGTGAAGGGGTTAATTTCGAAATTCATTCAAAGGACACCTGAATTCCCCATCACCACAGTTTTTTTCTGGTTTTATATAATATCTGTTGGAAACTTATATGTGTTTGTTCCTTGAATCAAGATGGAACCATGTCAAGTTGAACATTGTAACATGTAAGTAATGAGTTTAGCTCTCTTATTTTGGATTCTGCAGATAGAAAGTCAAACAAGTTCTCCCATAGTGACAAATTTTCCAAGGAGACCTTCATGTGCTGTAATTGGAGAGATTCGAAAATCGTGGAAGTGTGAGAAATATCTGACTTAGGCAGAACATGTTGAAAATGATATTTGAATTTCATGCTTGAGCATATCCTGTTTTCCTCAGACATTTTATTCAATATTCATTGATATTCAATATACATATTGCATGGAGAGAGATATATAAGTTTGCATGTGTTATTCTCAATCCTGGAAATGGGATTGGAGTTCTGATTTTATCTCTTTACAACGTTTTTAAATATTTCCCCCCTTTGTCATTAGATACACTAAGTACAGTTGGAAATTCTGGTTTTGTCTTTCAGCTTGAGAAAGAGTTCAATGGCACAACAGGATCCAACTACAATGGCAAGGTATTGCCCCGGGCCTTTGGATCTTATCCTGGATTGTAATGGCATGGAAATGCCAACTTATGGTCCAAAGGAATCTGGCCTGGTGTATCATCAGACTTTCCACCAATACAGCACGCATGGGCCATACTACAAGATTCCGTTCTCGAAGCTCCTCGCCTCTGAAACAGGGAAGATTTGATGACTCGACTCACCGAAAAGTGAAATTCAATCCCGCTGGCCATGCTGGAAAACCTCATCAAATCTTTCCCGAGGAGGATCGAGGCTACAGCTGCTGTTGGTGGTTGAACTACCAATTACTGATGTATCAATTACTGAAACAAGTACGATCAGTTTCTGTTTTGTTTGTTAAGTTTGTTAAGAATTATGTGAGGAAAGTCTAGCTTGTCAAAATTGTAAAGAGACTTTTGCACCACCCTGTACATGTTTGCAGTATTCTAGGAGAAAGGTAGATGGACTGGCTTGGTCAATGGAAGGTTTACCTGACCCTGGAGGAGACATATGAAGCTCTCTTCTTGCTACTAGATGCTGACAGTAAAGTGAATACATATGCTAACGTTGACCCATGCTGATGGCATTTTCCTCCATAATTCATATAATTGGATGTAAGAGGAATTTATTGTTATCTTCATGTATGGTTGTATGCCCCACTAACCTGTTTTGGCTGGCAACATCGGAGAAGGAAAATCTATCCCCGACAGATTCCCATCAGCAAATGGGTCAGATTTAATATCTCTAGAATGAAATTATTTGGGAAAACAAGAAGAGGCATTTCTGTGGCCTTGGAGAGTTCCTGGCTGGAGATTCCTCATGCGGCAGCTCCACTACTTCAGTGTCATTTACATGGATTTTGCACATGCTCTTAACATTGTCAGAGCATTAAAAGAAATTTGCTGATCAGGGAGTAAATTTTTTATTAGCCTGGATCGTGTGCCTGTTAGTATCACACAATATTTATCCATCGGGATATATTAGGCCAACTTTTTAATTTTTTTCATTTCACCATCATTAGTTCATTCATTTAGGTTATTCTTGTGATTCCTGGGCTGCTTTACCTGAATCCCATTTGGATACTGTTATGTTTGTCAGTGTTCACTGATGTATTTTTCCTGAGAACTTTTTAGCAGCATTGAAGTAATTGACAACTACAATTTGAAGTGTTAACATTCAATTTTGAAGATGAGTATCCATTTCTGAGCTTAGGCCTTGTAGGCAGCTCCGACGTGACTTAACGTTAATGATTATCACGAAGAGGTCATCAGCGTGTTTGAGGTTTGTAATAACTCCATTTACTCCTCGTGACTAATACAATGAATATATTGTGAAAATTACTAACATTTGCTGACCATTACTGACAACTAGTATTGAGCAAGGTCAATAGTGACAAGAATAAAAAATGGGATATGAAGCCAATCTTGGCTTCTATTACGTTAGATGGATATTGGATAAAGGATACCAGAAGAGCAATACCTGAATGGATATTAGAGTGAGGTGGGGAGGGACGACAGACAGCACACAATTTCTCGCACTCATGTCAAGGGTTTCCTGAATTTCCCGCGTCTTCCCTTGGGTGCTCCACTATACTCCCAATACGACTAACTCTCAAATCTCGATCCGGCGACTCCCCCTTTCCCGCTCACACGGTCTTTTATAATTCCTTACTTCAAGACATGCGTGCATGTAAATATGTCCAACCCGATTAGCAAGGTGATAATAGGTACCTCCTACAGCCTGAAGTGCAAGTACAGAGTATTGTATTGTTATCTTATCTCTATAAGCAAGGATCTCTGTCTGTCTCTGTCCATCTGACGCTATGCATTCAGACACTGTTGGAGATATCGACCTGAAACCTTCGCAGGAGGGTGGGGTCTGTCCAGTAGCAGGTCATAGGGGTTCGGGGTCGGGGGCGGCTCCGGGGGAGGGGGTCATGGGGTCCCAAAAAGGGTGTTCCAGGCCAGCTAGGGAGAGAGGGACAACGGATTGGGGTTCTATAGGTTCCTAGAACCAGTTTGGTGCAAAAAAAAGTCCGACTGCCACACCCCGGTGTCCGCGGCCAAGTTGGGGGGGCCTTTGGAGCATCTCCTCCATGGGTTTTGGTCCGATTGACGTGAAACCTTTGCAGGTGGGTTGGGGACGAAGTTCCCACAGGGGTATTTCATCGGGGTCAGGGGGGGCAGCTAAGGGTCCCAAAAAGTGTGTTCCAGGCCAACTAGGATGACGGGGACAACAGATTGGAGTTCCACAGGTTCCCAAAACCTGTTTGGTGCACAAAAAGTCTGGTTGACACACCCTGACAGAAATCACTATCAAGAAATGAACAAAATTGGTTTGCTGAAAAATCAACAGAAATCACCGTCAAAAATTAAAAAAATTGGTTCACCTTAGCTAACTAGCAGTAGTAAAACTGCCCTGGCCTTTACTTACCAATTTCACTTACATCCACAGTGAAGTTGGTGAGTTCTATAAGGCCCCCTTCAACAAAGCCAAGACACTTCAAGTAGTCTACAACTAACTTCAAGAAGCCGCAAGTCAAGTACTGTTTGGCCAGGGTCAGTATTTGACTCATCACTACCACACCACCCTAACCACCCAACCTAAATATTTCTCCTAAAAAATATCTCGGGCAACGCCGGGTATTCCAGCTTGTTACTGAATAATAAAATAAACAAAAAACATTATGTTGATGTTCCATGCTAAACTGGTGGGTATCATTTCCATTTGGGAGTTTGCTAAGTTCACATCTATTATGCATGTATGTTGAATGGCATTGAATATAAAAACTTTTGCATATGTGTGGAGGTGGTAAATCCAGTAGGATATCTCGGGAAAGAAGTATGTGATGACTATCCAGTCAGTCCCTCATGTTGGACCACTCAGTGCTAACGTCTTTTTTGAGTACAACTTAGAAGGGATCTTCCAATGTGATAATGAAAACCACCTTGAAGTTGAAACAGGCTAATTTCCCTCTCCTCCAGTGTTGCCAGGATTTTGCCAATGGGGGGCTACATTTAGACTGGAGTTTGGGGGGGCTTCAGCCCCCCCCCCCCCCCTCACTACACCACTGCTCTCATAGTTTTATTTGATTTTTCAAAAGAGAAAGAGGAGGCCGCCATTTTGTTTTTTTTTCTGCCTGTATTCTCACAACGCAACAAATATCGATTGCAGTGAAATTTGGATATGGGCAGTTCAGAATCTCATCAATTAAGTTTAGTTCAAAACCGCACTTGCTGCAATGATAATCACTAACTCATCCTTGCTGGGTCCATCCCATTTATCCCTTTTGTCATTTATCTTTTCCACCACACTCTGTCCCATAGCCTCCATTGCGAGTTTCCACAGCATGTCATTCCAAAACCATTTCATTGTTGCTATTTCAAGCTTACTGATTGAGAAATTGGCCATCCACTTTTCATTAGATGATCTGGCCAAGACACTGGCAGGCATTCTTGGAATTCTGGAAGGATTCCAAGAATGACTTGATGGCATAGGTGAAGCCAACCAGATTTGCCCTGTGCTTCATGCCCAACATCAGACTGCTCACTTTCATACCTTTTCATTGCCCTACTGTTCTCAATGTTAGCATGTTTTGAAACATTCTGAAGCCTCATTAGCCTCTTCCAGAAATTACAAGTTGAGTCAGGAGGCTCAGACTCCAGCTCTGTCTTATCAGCTGTTACATATCATTGATGATCTGACAAAAAGGTGCTCAATTCATGCTCAACTTAAAAATTGTTCATGAGAACAAGAATTGAAGGTATGTTAAACTTTGCACTAGGAAGCTGAGAGTCTCTCATTTAGGGGACAGCTGAACATTCATCATTCTTCATTCTACAGTCCAAAAGAATGTGAATTCTTGCAATTCTTGAAGTGATCGAAGTTGCTTATCCACCCTTATGTCAGATTATTAAAAATCTGTAGGCCTCAATGTTTTGCCATTTTCTGCTTTGTCCACTTGAGAAGGGAATTCCCTACTTCATCATAGACATGCATTTACTTATCTCTTATTTACTTATCTACTTCTTTCCATAAGAAGTCAAACGATTTTTGTTCTTCTTATGTCTTTAGTGTTCAGCACTGCTTGTCACAGTTTCATGGATCTATTTTGAAAGAGTTTTACCTATTTGTAATTGATTCATTGATTTCTTATCACAATTAAAGGAAAAGTAATCAATCTGGATGTCAAAATCATGAATGTTATTAAGATTAATCAATCAGGTAATGAAATTATTTCGCCAGCCCACGAAAATTTGTCAGAGGAACCAGCATGGAATTTTTTCAGTGTATTCATCTTTCATTCATAGAATTCATAGAAACAAAATGAAAACCAAATTCGTTGGCAAAGTGATTTCGGCTTCCAAGTGAATCCCCCCAGCTAGAATCCCAAGTTCCAGCTAGAAACAGCAAGCTTTCCATCAGTAAATATGTGCTACTTCCAACAGGAACTGCAGCATTTCCAACCAGAACTAGTCGTAAATTGGTATGCCATTTCCAGCTGGAATGAACCAACGGGATCCAGTTGGATCCCACGTTGTATTCTGCTGGATTTCTGCTTTTCTTGTAGGAAAATGCCAACCTTCTCTGGGCCAAGATTGGGCTGTCGAGTCCTGGTGACTGCAGACTTGTTCTCCACCAACAGGCTTCGTGCTTCCATGATAATTGTCTGATTACCAAAAAGTGACCCTCGTGCCACCAAGTGGGAACCTTGGTACACCATGAAAATCACTCACACTAGTCACGTGCTTGTGCAACCTGCGTGCTATTCCTAAGGCCTCCTTCAGAATCATAGAGGGTCCCTGTACCTGTCATGGGACCATCATGCCTAATGTGGTATCTAAGCCAACGGGTACACCCTTTCTATCCGTGTAATAATTATGCATTTTGTCACCAAAGGTGCCCGTGTCCTGTCTATATTAAATGAAAGTAAAATCAGCAGGCCTGATGAGGAAAAAATAAAATAAAATATATTGGGTGCCGTTACGATAACGTCTAAATCCACGCATTGAATAAAATAATCTTTACTGGGAAAGAATTGAAACCATGGCTGCAATCATAAATTTGGCCAATATTGAAGCTGAAAAGCTTATATCCTGGCAGCAGAAAACCGGAAACTGGTACTTGATGAACTGTCTTGCTGAATCCTTAGAACTGAGTTTCTCTAATACTGACTTCCAGGCCTGCAGTGGCTCCTCAAACCAGTGGCGTAGCGAGGGGGGGGCTGGGGGAGGCTTCAGTCCCCCCAAGTTTGGTTCAAGCCCCCCCAACTCTAGTCGAAATGCGTCTGCCCCACCCTGACGAGGCGAAGTTAGCCCCCCCAACGTTCCGCTTAGCCCCCCATTGACGAAAACCTGGCTACGCTACTGCCTCAAACAGATCGGAAATTGTACACCATACTCACCTCAATCACCCAGGCTCCATTACTTGTGGATTACTCCATTACAAAGGAGGAGGGGGAGAACGAATGTAATGTTTTTACCGTTCCCCTACTCCCAAATAATAATGAAATGAGTAGCAATAAATAATAACTAAATGTAAATGTAAGTGTAAGTGTGTTTTTGCACTAGGAGCTCATAAACGCTGCTCTACCAGTTCTGCTTTCCCAAACTATAGATTTGGGAAGTATTGATTTCCAGGGAGAATCCCAATCGTTGCTCTGCAATTCTGACCAACGACTGAAAGCTCTACCAAAACGATTTCATCTTTGTTAAATACAGGGACTATGGAGAATTTCGAAATGGGTTTGTTCTTTTTCCTAACACATGCTCTGCTTTTCGTTTTCTTTTTTCTCGAAATATTGCTCCAACGTTGTTTTATAACTCGTTTCACGAGAGGCTACGAGTTCACATAAACGTGACGGGTGGATCATTATGCTGCAAGGAGTTATAAAGCGTTGAAAATAAACGTTAAAAAAATGGCTGACCTCATGGTGGATGCTGAGCCGAACAACGCGAAGGTTCATGATTCAGTACAGTCTCAGAGATTCCTCGATGATCTGCGCTTAATTCGTTGGACCATAGTACTTGTGGACATGGAAGGGATTGTAGCAAAGCTTATGATCTTGATCTTTTGACCTTCATTAGTCATGAACTATGGAGTGGGAACTGATATTTCCACGATTGGGCCAAATTTCCTGATAATCAGTCGGTGAAGAATCACATGTTGCCCTTTGAGACAGGCTCTTCACTTGAAAGTCCCTCTTTTTTTCAGCTTGGTTCGCGAGGGTGCAGGTGTGAAGTAGAGGGACGTCTCGTTACTGTGCAGGCTTTTTGCTTCTTTGTCTCACCTTATATATATTTACATGATATGCTGAATGGAAAATAAAGAGAAATTCCTACTCCTTATCCTCTTCATGTGTTTTTTCCTCGTACTTGAACAGGTCGAAAACCGAGCGGCGAAGCTACGCTGCCATCGCCTTAAAAAACTGATGGTTTGGAAGATTAAAGTGAATAGAGATGTCAGGATAGAAAATGGTCAGAATTAAGAAATTCCTGCAATCGTTGTGATGTAGACTATACGCAAAAATTGACGCATAGGAAGTGGAAGATTAAAAGTAATCGGTACAATTGGCAGTTATAACGGTACCCCGCACATCTCAGCTCTCCAGTACTTGACCATAGAAGTGATCTCGCAGGATGTCAGCAGCTAAAGTAATAGAATTCCGCAGGAGCTGTGAAGTAAAAGAAAAAGAAATCAGATGACGTAGCATCCACGTCGTCAAGCGCTATAACGAATTCAGAATCTCCGGGTGAGCCCGTCCATTCTTCGCCGACATGAGGGGTGGTCGGGTGGTTGGGAGAGCCCACGAATTGGAAGGGAAAGGGGAGGTCGGCTGGGAGATGACGTCACTGAATTCGACCTTGAACTGCCACCTTTTTTCCGGGTTTGGAAAAAGCATCAGGGGGCGAGATTTTCCTTCTCTTCCCGGAACCGTGGTGACGTCACGGTTCTGGCCCCATTCTCCTTCATTCGACCTTGCTACTCCGCAACTCCGGCTTCCCCTCGAATAGAAATGGACTCGTCCACCTGCTCAGCTGCATTGAAAAACGCAGTTTCTCGGGTTCGAGATCCCTTCCTTCCATAGCCGACAGGGAAAGCGTTCATTTCCGAAGAACGTGGCTCAGGTTCGAACCCCTCCCGAATTTTTTTTTCTAATTTTTTAATGCATTTTCTGCCCTGTTTTTCTGTTTTTTTTTTCTTTTGTTTTGTTTTCTTTACATATTCTTATTTATTTGCTTATTTTGGTTCTTTTTCTCGTTTGCGTATCTGTGTTCTCCGTTGCACTCTTCGCTTGTACTCGTCTCGGACATTGGATACGAAGAATCTACCTTATTATTATCCCACGCAGCCTCTGAGCTCTAAGAAATGCATTCCAGTCGATACTCCAACCGCCAATTTCTGGTCGGGTAAATGTAATCTCGTGCAGAAATTCTCAGTGGATCAAACCCTCGCCGAGACATCAATTTGCAGCGAATGATGAAAGAATCCAAAGGTGAAAGCAGAATTTTATTTTCATGAGCACGAATCCAAAAAAAGATTTCTCAACTTCTCATTAAAATCTTTGAGAATAGGGGATGGAATCCTTTCATTTTTGGGGCCTTCATTGACGTTAATCAAAGTACTATAATTAACCCAGCGATGTTTCCCGCCATTTTCAGAAGAAGAAAAAAAACTCAGCGCTACCAACGGATTAATAAATTGAAATAATTAGTCGTGGGCCACTCAGTCGCTTAATCAAATACTTCCCACACACAACGCGATGAATGATGTGGCTGTGAATGCGACGTTGAATTTATTTCTAGTGCGGAATGAACTAAGCCTCGAAACGTATCGCCTTCGGGCGCACGTACGAGACAGAGGAGCAGAAAAGAAAAGGAATGATGGATTCCACCTCGGCGGGAAAAAAAAATCGAATTCTGGAGGGGAAAAAATGCAGGACCCCTTTCTCCTATGTCCGTGTTTTTTTTTCGCGCCTAGTGGATGACCCTAAAAATGCCTCGGGATAGACTTCTACCTCCCGATAAAATGCGAAATGCTCTCCTCCATTCGAGTTCTCCTCGCGGTCGTCGCAACAGTGCAGGGCAAAAATGACCTTTCGGAATTAGGAATCGGTGTGTAGGTTCTCTCGTTTTGCATCGCGCAGAAAGCATCGTCTTTTTCCTTCTTCCCCTCTTGAAAGAAATAGAGTTTATTTATTTGCCGAATAGTGAGTAGCTCTAGAAGGACTTTCGAGCCAGCATTTCATCGGATTCCAGTCATATTTTTCAATTCATTTTTTGCTCTCAGGCAGAACAATGGACTTTTAAAAAAAAGGAAAATTGGCATTTTGGGAGAGATTGGAGGGTCGAATGAAATCCGATTCATTTCAATTAAACTTTTAAAGCCGCAGGTTGAAGTTGGAAACCCCATTTAGTGCATATAATAATGCAAAGTATCGAAAAGAAGAAAATGTAGGACAATAAAATGAACGTGGTGAAAGTAACATGGATGATCCCCAGATTTTCTCGAAGGGCAGAAATAGCATCACTCCGGATCCGCCCAGTCGGTCGTCCGACGAGGAAAAATGGAAAAACACTCCCCTCGTGGGGATTTCTAGGCCGATCTATTTCTTTCCCCTTTCTCGATGGCGTCCGGAATAAACCATTTGAAGTCACTGCGAAAATCTCCAGGCTTTTCAGAGATGGTGCTGGCGATGCTCCACAGTTCTGAGCCGTTCCTGAACGATCCCTCGTCCCTCGAGAAGCGCAACTCCCACTTCCGCATACATCTCGGCTGCAAAGTTTTTCTTGACTCGGGCTGCAGGTCGACGACGATGACTGGTCTGGTTCTTCTGCGGAAAGATAAACGAGACGCTTTTGCATCATTCAAAAGGTTTTAATCGGATCTTCTCTCATTCGTTTCCACCCGAGAGAAACTTCTCCCAACCGCAGAATTAGTTTGCGCCTCCCCTCGCACGGTAAGAAGATCCAAAAGCGAGACGACCTCAGTCGGAGCACGAGGGCGGTTGCAACTGCAGCCTAGAACGCCTCCGGAAATATTGGGTTGGAAAGAAAGTCTTGCAACACTGCGCAAATTTTTCAAAATGTTATAACTTTATTGAAATGCAATTTCAGTCTACAATGCAATGATCATTGTTGTCTATGACATGTTCCCAACGCACGGGTAACTGCTCGATGCCCTTTGCCCAGAACTCTGGCGATTGCGAAGCGAAGAAACGGCCGACATCATTTTCGAGCCGTGCTCGATCGTCGAAGGTCTTGTCCCGCAGGTGATTCTCGAGGGCCCGGAACGAGTGATAGTCGGAAGGGGCCAAGTCCGGAGAATACGCTGGATGGGATAAAACTTCCCAGCCCGGTTCCCGGTTCCGGTCTGGCGAGTCATCTTCGCAACACGTGGACGAGCGTTGTCATGCAGAAGAAGAACTTTGTCGCGTTCGGGACGCTCTTTTTGAATGACGCCAGCCAACTTCTGAAGTCGAGCAGCGTAGACGACGGCAGTGACGGTGGTACCGGTCGGCAGGAGCTCATAGTACGACATTCCTTCTGAATCCCACCGACAGCAGAGAAGAACCTTCTTCTCGTGGAACCCTGGTTTCGGTTCGTGTGGCGGCAATTCTCCTCGTGGAAGCCACTGACTTGCGAGTATGGTCGACGTCGAGGACCCAGCTCTCATCTCCAGTAACGATTTCCTTCAGGTCCTTTCTGTGCGGACGAAGGAGCAGTGATTCGCAGACACCGACACGGCTTGCTCTGTCAGAGTCGCTGAGCCGATGAGGAACCCACGTCGAGTAAACCTTCCGATAGCCGAGGTCGTTCAGATGGTTGCCGATGGCCACATGGGTGACTCCAAGTGTAGTCACCGATTCCCGAGTGGTGGCGTTCGGCTTCGCGTCGAGGGCGTTCCGCATGGCTTCGTCATCGACTGTAGATGGACGTCCCGAACGTGGTCGATCTCCGAAGGTCGTGTCGCCAGATTCCAAGCGTTTGAACCATCGAAACACCGTGGAATAGTGGACGACGTTGCCCTTGAATGCAGCGCAGATGTTGTCCGCGGCGGCTCTCGCAGCGTGTCCTTGGAGGAACTCGTAGTAGACGATAGTTGTGGGGTGTGGTAGTGGGGCTCGTAGTAGTGGGGCGAAGAGTTGCTCGTTCGATCGGAGCCATGGCTGCCAACTGATGGCAGAAGCCGCCTTACATACCCCGAGGGCAGAAGCTTCGAGAACATTCCAGCATATACAAATGCAAAGCCCCGCCCATCATTCCTTTGAAAATTTTTATAAATAGTTTTAGAAAGTGTTGCAAGACTTTCTTTCCAACCCAATACATAGAATTCGAGTTTTTTGGTTTTAGCGAGCAATTGTAGGCACGATAAAACCTTTCAAATCATGAAAGGCGTTCATTATTCGGTAAAAGATGGAGATAACCAAGCTGATAATTCACGTAATAATAAAGAATGATGTTGAATTAAATGTTAATATCAGGTTCAATAATATTTTTGCTCAAAGAAATGCGAAAAAAGTAGTATAGCTTCGAAACTACCGAGATGCATTTTAATTAAATTGTTGAGTACTTTCCGTTTTATTAAATGTACTGTATATCACAAAAAGAGAGAAAAGTTTCACTTTACTGTGCCAGTAAATCTGAAAAGTAAAGCAGTCACAAGAAAACAATCAAGTTCATTCCCTGACCATGCAAATATTTTTTGCTTCACAAAAGCAGCGACCGTCTCCCCTTACAAACAGGGCAGAATATTAGTATGCATTACTATACCTTTCTTCGTATTTCTTTGGGACATAACCGTTGTAAAAGACACGGTAGTAGGGTTCGAAAGCATCTTAACTACCCAGTGTGACCGTTTACGTTCTAACAAGTAAGTAATATACCTTTTTCGGGTGATTCTCAAGCATACCTGCCATTCAGGCAACCCGCATGCCCGAAGGAGCACGCAGGGGCGAATGAAGGAATGGAGAACAGGGCGAGGAGGGGCGAGTGTAAGCCGTTGTGTCTCGTTTAACCTTCCTTCAGTCCAGATGGAGAAACCAAGAGACTACGAGGTCAAATCATACCCCGAGGATAAGTAAAAATCCTGACGGCAGGAGACCGAAATGCGAAATACCTCCGTTCATGAATGGGATTTCTGTCTAACGCCGTATTGACATTGAAAAGAATGCTCGTATGCATGTCTGCTTTAAGCATTCGTATACACGCTGGGAATTGACACATATACTGTATATTTTTCATCTTTTAGCATCGATATCTCGTAAGAGTCATTCCTGCTGCGGCTGCCAACTGAGGGTTAGCGACGGGGGCCTGCAAAGCACCTATCCGCCTTTTCACTTCTGCTTTGAAGGGCGAGAACGTGAATTCAATGGGATTCAACCAAGGACTTTAGGGAGTAGGGGGGGGGGAGGAATTGAATGGAGTGGGTCGAGGAATAACCCTTCTGTGCACCTGAGCATTGTCCAACACGAAAATAAACACATTGCCCCCGGTCCGATGGTGGCACTTGTAAGGATGTAACTTTGTCCTAGTTTATGTAATGCTGAAATTTTCCAAAATAAAAAGTTATTGAACTGGCTATCGTTTGAGTCATAAGGTAAACGCCCTAGTTTTTGGCCACCCTGATACTTCCTCCCCTAGGAAGTGGACACCCTGGCGCACACCGGGAAATACTAGTAATAGGTCCTCGTACGGGAAGATGATGATAAAATACTTGAAAACGGCCAGATTAACTAATTATGGCGAGTTTAAGCCTCACTCGCCAACAACTGGAGACCGGCCAGAAACAGGAGTGCTTACCCTTTATCATTGAAATCGGATGTATACTTCCTGAGTAATATGCTTTTACTTTTGGGGCGACAATTGTGGACCATCCTGTACATGAAAATGGACGTCTTTAACCTGACGAGCTGACAAACCAAAGTTTCATTCGATCGTGCATTAATGAGCAAGCTCTTCACATCTCTCTCTCGCAGTTGTGCCATCACGAACGTATGAGGAATGGAATCGAAACCGGCTTGTGCCTACAGACTATAGAGGAAACGGAAGCTCCTAGACAGGCCAGAAAGTCGACAGTCGGAGCTGTTCTGCTTTCCCTCAGCTCATCGGCTTGCCCGCTTGCTCTCCCTATTTCCATCATCCCTTTCATAACGAATCCTATGGAGGGGGAGGGGGGGGGGGGGGGGGTTCGGGTAAGCGTCATTGTAGGAAGGCCTGAGAATCATCTGAAAAAGGTATACATCAAAATCTGTATCGATTCCCGACAGGCTGGATAGCCTGAGGCCACGGACATAATTACCACTGGATCTATCCAACCATCAACGATATCACGGTGCCGAAGAATCCCCGCGAACAGGGTCGGTATGATGACTTACGAGACGTGAGAGACGAGGACGAAAGAAGCAGACGACTGCGGTAAGGAAGAATGCATACTGGACTGGGAATCCCTGCGCTCTTCTTTTCCCTGGAAGCGCCGCCTCCGGCTCAATTCCAACAACCTTTAGCCTCTCTCTTACCACTGGAGGGACGAGGAGGGAGGAGGCACACGAACGGTTCATTGCATTCTCGTCTCTGAAATGAAAACAGTTTAATTCTACCTTTCTACGGCCTCATTTCCAACGTGAACCGTATTGAGGATTTGCACTGGTTCGTATGCTCGACTGAGTGATTACGCATACCTCCCTCTAGTAATAAGTTCAACTTCGAATTTGAAGAAACTCGAAGAACTCGGTTCGTTCTTGATACTCCAACAGTCGATTACATTGGGAAACATTTTCCCTCGAAAGAGTGGCAAACAAGTGGCCAGGCTATCTGGTGCTCTGGAAGAGACAAGCCGAAGCAAAAGCATTCTGAATGCACGTCTCACAAAAGATGAGATTACTTTTCTTGTGCGTGAAGCTTGGTATCTCGTGTTACGTGTCGTAACTGATTCGTGTTCTCGAGCTCCTCCTCTGGTACCTAATGCCTCGCATGAGGTTCCTATAGTGGAACTAGTCTTAAAGCCCGTGCACGCACGGGCTGAAATAAGTGGAATGAGAACATTTCGTGTATGAATCTCTGCTCTTTCCTCGTCAGTTTCACCATTCCTGGAAGCATCCTGCGAAGCAGCGTTTTGTGAACGTCGTCATGCACACATATCCACTGACTGGAACTCCAGAACTTCTCTCTTTCTCACACGCTCAGTGGATCCCGCCACAGAATAGTTGAAACTTCCCCACACTTTCGGGGCATTTTGAGAATGCCAACATTTAAAAAATGATAATATTGGAGCACCAACTCGATGCTGCAAACATACTCGAAGCACTGTCTTAAACTGGCGACGGAACTAGTAACGCGATAAAGTATGACATGATTATTGGCAGCAGATAGGATAGCAACAACTTCCGTAGCCGACAATGCCTCATACTATCATTGTTGGTTGTGAGCACTTCTCCCAGGAAGGCATTCAGTACGATGCTATACTCATGGCGGAAATTAGACCTCATAGTGTGAAAATTGTAGAACTTTTTGAGCTCTCGACCCAATAGTTATCGCCAACAGATTTTGAACGACACATATACAGGGTGGCGCAAAAGTCGCGTATCATAGTGGATTTCACTGTTGCTCTACATTAATTATTGTTTCATTCTTTGCAGGTAAGTGATGACTGCAAAATTAACAAAAGACGAGAAGGTGGAGTTACGATATCTTCAAACATCATGTGTGCATCGAATCGGTGTTTTCAAGTAAATGGCAGACGATTCGAACACTTACTGTAATTTACCCTATGGTGCGCGACTTTTGCGCCACCCTGTAGCTTAAAACTGAGACACAGAACGAATTCGGAACTCTTAGTAGTGAGATGGAGGGCGGAAGGACGGTTCCCGTCTGAA